TTATTAACTTCTCAATGTTGCCTTACTATCTTGCCTTTGTTGTTTCATTTTCTAAGATCCCATCTTTTAGGAAAAATTTGATAACATGACAATTTATGAAATTAACATCCAACCGAAAATTTAATCATCAAAATTGCTCATGCTAGGAATTTAGCAAAAGCAAAAAATAATGGCTATTGTTTTGTTCTGCTCTTTGAGATTAGAGTTGTCCTATTACAAGTAGAGTTAGTTGGCCATTAGTTTTGTGAATAATAGTGTCTTATGTGTTATATAAGAAATTGTCAGCTTCTTTTATGATTGAAGGAAATTTTTCTATAAGTTTCTTTTCAATATTAATATCTCCATAATCTTTTACCGTAACATACAATTTCATAATTAGCTGGATAAAGTTTATTGTTGTCATCCTCCACTTTGTTTTCTGTTCTCTTTGCAATATTTAAGCTTTGTATTTGTACTTCTCTATTATCTTTGTTTCCTATACTTAATAAGCATAAAATTTCCCCTCTTATTGCCCTTTGTACCTTTATACTCATTACTCTCTTACTGTCTGCTTAGGTGTAATCTTTTTTTAGACTACCTTAGATTATTATGGTAAACATCTTAATGCAATTAGCCATGCTATCATAGATTTTTTTCCACAGTGTCGACATGCCTATTTTAATAGCCTTTTTTAGAAGAGTAATGATAGCGGAGTTAACCCAAACCATAATAAGAAAGCAAATATTATTACTGAAAAAAAAAACTAATAGCAGTTGCACAACCACACGTAGAAATGGGAAATAACGACAACACGACAAATGACACACGGCTAAGGTAGATTGCTGGTGTTGGTGATGATTGGGGCTTAGAAAAGTGGCGATGACGATTATGTGCGGCTGGATATTAAGGGCAGCAAGGGACGATGGTTGTAACAACAACATTTTGCTTTTTAGGGGCAGCAACAATGAGGGGGAAGCGAGTTAGGGGCGTCAACAACATTGTGGAAGAGTGAGGTGGCTGGAGACTGCAAGGTAGAAGGGCTGGAAGGCTGTTCGATGGCAGGGATGGGTGTCAGGTATGTATGGGGGCTGCAGGCGCTAGCAAAGGTGCTTTCCCAAACGGTGTTTGTAGCAATTATGGCGATGATGGCTGCGGGAGGGAAGGTTGCGGAGGATTAGAAAAATTGAGGGTAAATACTACATTGGAAACATGATGCAGCCGGTGCAGCACTACTCTTGGAGGAGAATTACAAGCTCGAAATGAGATATAACCAGAGCACCACTCGTTCTTCGATACAATCCTAGAAGTTAAAACAGGGGGCGCCAACGACTGTCCTGACAAAAACACAATAAAAAAATATCCAAAAACACAATAAAAAAATATCCAAAAACACAAAAAAACAACATACTTATAGACTTAAGGTAATGAGAAGTGAACCCTGCTTGCCTGGAAGGACTAGCTAGTCCGTCCTTTGCCTGGGTTGAACTGGACTAAGGCAAAGGAAGTCGTGACAGTTGCCACGTAGGGCGCTGGACGCCCATGTTAGTCTCTCAAATTTGGGGGAGCTTAGACCTCATTCATGGAAGCTTCTATCTGCATGTTGATGTTGACGAAGTTGCCACAACCTTTCGTGGTTAAAGGATCTTTGATTGTGCCCCTATGGACACTTGGATCCCACTGTTGACTGCACTGTCTCCCAAAACACCTGAAGAGTTTTCTCTAATTGCAAGCAACCATCCATATTGGTCCAACCTTCTAGGAATAAGCTACATAAATGAATTAGGACTGCATGTCATGTATATTCTGCTAAATCATTCCAAAGTAACCTCAGGTTGACTCAATCTGATCTGAAATGAGGGCAACCTAAATCACCGTAAATAATGATGGGCATGGAAGTAAGCTATCTAACAAGACATCCTAAAACTCTCTCTGTACTACCTGATCTGTGTCTGAACCGGCTCTTTTATTTCACTCTCTTCTATTATCACTAAAGTTGATCTTACAAGCTCTTCTATGCTATCAAGGGCACTTGTAATATCAGACTCCGTAGACGGTAGGACTATGTGATGCCTGAAATTGTTGTGAAACAATCAATCACTTAGGCAAGTATACGTGTCGATCAAGTAAAATGTAAAATTAGAGTCCGCATATCGATTCCACAAGAAAACTTATCAACTTTTCTAACATATTTATTTATAGTTTACTTTACGAAGTTCAGTTCAAAGGTTTATATTTGCCGAAAATAAAGTGTTCTAAAATCTTAATGCTGAAATCATAAATCAGAACTAAGTTTTTTTGGAGTTATTGAAAGGTAAAAGATGCATGCTCTTATGACACCGATCTAATGATTCATCGATATTTTTCCTATGAGTTTCCTATGTTGTTGTTGACAAATAATAATAAATTCTTCTTAGCTCATGTCTAGGTCATAAGAAGCGTTGCGTATTACAGTTAAGGGGGCTTAACCATGTAAGGTTTCTCAAAAATCCTCTGATCCCCTCAAAATATTTTTTTTCAAATTTTGGGTGTTAAACAACCACTTTATGAAGCCATCCAGATTCATTCTCCCTTCGAAATTCGGTATGTTCACTTTCACTCCCAAGTTTTTGTATCTCAAACATGCACTTCATTATGGGTCCTTCAACAATCACTTGATCTCTCATGCTCCTCTGATACTTTATGCCAAAGCATCGTGCTCCGTCTTCTCTACTACGAACAACTCTATGAAAGGTATTCAAGTGTCCCTCTCACTCTCTCTCGGATCTCACTACCATGCTCGATGATGATCTCTTTCTGGGTCCTTTTCTAAATATCAACAATCCATTGTAGCACTCGACGAACTTCATATCTTTCATTTAAACTCCTGGTCTATAGGGTTAGGTTTTAGGGTTGAAGCGGTGAAAGGGTGTGTGGGGTTGATGTAGGGTGGGAAAGAGCATTTTGGGCCGACCTGTTTGGAAAAAAAATCAGTAAAGGGGAAGGGTGTTGGGTGGAGATAGGATTGGGTATTGGTCGGTGCTTGAAACCTTATGGTAGGATTAGGGTTAAACTAGCTCTGATGCCAAATGATACTGGAGTTAACCCAAACCACAATGAGTAAAAAAAAATATTATTATTGAAAAAAAACCAATTGAAGGTTACAACCACTCACAGAAATTGTAATAATGACAACACAACACATAACACATAGCTAGGGTGGATCTCGGGTAGTGTTGATGCTCGTTATGGGCTTTGGAAAGGCGGCGACAACAACAGGACAGCAAGGGACGACGGTTCAATTGCAGCATTTTGCTGTTTGGGGCGGTAACAGTGAGGGAAAAGCGAGTTTGGGGCGTCGACAACAATGTGGAAGAGTAGGGAGGTTGGTGGCTTCGAGGTAGAAGGATTGGAAGGCTGGTAGGTGGCTGGGACTTTGGCGAGGAGGTATGGGGGATGCAGGTGACAACAAAGGAGCTGTATTAAGGGGTGGCTGCAACAGTTATGGTGACGATGACAACAGATAGATGGCTGCAGAGGATGAGGAAATTCAAGGAAAAATGCCGCATCGGGAACGCGATACAACCGGAATACCACTGGACGCCTGAAGGAGTATCACTACCTTGGAATGAGATACAACCGGAGCACTACTCGTCCTTGGATACAACTGTAGATGGGAAAACAGGGGATGCCTATGACTGTCCTAACAGAAGCACAATGAAAAACTTACCTAAAACAAGAAACATACTGACAGACCTAGGGTAAAGAAGAGTGGACCTTGCTCCAAATAGGAGGGAAGCCAATGCCTAGAAAGACAAGGTCGTCCCTCTTTTTCTTGAATTGAACTTGTCGTGGGCAAAGGAAGTCACAACAGCTGTTGCGTAGGGCGCTGGATGCCCGCGTCAATCAACTTTTTAGCTTTCAAGTCCTTTTTTATGCTATGATAAATATCAATCAAAACCAGAGTTGTGAGCTCTCAAGTACTCTTGCAGAGCTTCATTTAAAATTAATAAATATAACTTTTCATTGAACTTATATCCAAGGAAGTCATGCAACCTCTTCAATAGCTTTGGATTGACAGTGATGGAGGGACCAAATTTGTTACATTTCTGAAACATTAGAAATGGTATCAGCATTATTAATGTTTATCGTCTTTGTATCTTTATTAGTTATTTCACTGTTAGTGCTAATCATTGTGTTGAGTGGAGGTGCTTGTTGGTAAATTTCATTTTTATTTTTCATGTGTACTTGCTTTGCATGGCGTCTTGCAGCGCAAAGAATAGTATCGGCGCTCAAGCCCATCATAGATAGCACATGCTAGTACTGAGCATCACTTAAAAAGCTGTTTGAATGGCCATGATTCTTATGATATTATTTGTAGTAAGGTTCATGAATGATTATATTTGATTGTATAAGCAATATTAGATTTGTTTATAGAAGTAATGCATTATGTGTAGCTTGCGGATATAATTTTTGGCTCTTCAAGAGCATTTTGAATTATGATTTAAAGCTATTCATAGTAAGCAGTTTTGATTAAAAGCATCAAGGAGCTAGGAGAAAATACACCTACCCAGAGAAAAAGTTCCTAAAATAAAAGGCATAATACGTGAATACAGAGCAATCCTTAAGATTAAACTTAATACATTAGCCAAAAAATTAACGGAAAAGGGGATCTGTTGGGAGTGGACGGGAGTCCTATGAGGAAATCAATACTTCACCAAATACAACAGAAAAAGCAATAGAAGTTAACTGCATCTTGAATTAAAAGTTATGCCAAAGATCTTGAAGCATACCAATAATCAAACATAAATGCTGAAGTAGATGAGGCCAAAATACTGTAAGGAACAACTCGCAGCAACAATAAATAAAGCAAAATATCCTGTCCTATAGGCGTCTTATGTTTTCTTTAAGTTGTTTTGGTTATAGAAATACTATTTTTTGAAGTCTTAAATAATTTTTTTTTAAAATGGTGCGTTATTTTTGCTAGTTCTGCAAAGAATACCATAACAAATAATCCTTCTTTTGCATGCACTTGTGTGTTGCAGATAAATGACTTGGTGAATAAGCTAAAATTATGTTCGAACTTCTATGTTGGTATGCTTCCTTTTCAACACATGCATCTCTTTATACATAAATGCTAGTATATATTTATGATTGGTTATTCCGAAAGGATTTTGTTCATTTTTTTTAGCAACACTTTTATCTTAGCAACTTCTATGTTGTTTTGATTTTATCAAGCAACATATCGGGCCTTCCCATCATGCCATGAAAGACGTGTGTGGGTATGTACGAGTCAAATCTATTAAAAAATTGTTTCCTGTAACATGAAGAATGACATGTGTAGTGCTCAAAATACATAGATGATTTTTTCTTACCCGCTATGCTAATATAGGCATTTTGCATGTTTTCCTACTAAAAACATGACAAATCGACTAATTAAGCTGCATTTTGCTCCAAAAAAGACGTAGTAAGACACAATGACTAAATAAGCTTTGCTTTGCATAAAAAAGATGTGTTTGATAAAATGACTATATAAATTATGTCTTGCATCAAGAAAAGTCATCATTCTTTTTGGTTTGCAAAATCAAAAAAATTTGCCATGGGTCTACAAGAGGATGAAAGAATACGAAATTGCATTAAGGACTATATAAAAAAAAAATTTATCCTCAGGTTTCGAAGGAATTGCTTATATAGGAATTCAAAAATGAATAGATTTTATTTAGGTCATGATCTATATTGGATTTCCAAATTTACTAATAGAACGACGAACACGGGGAGTTAAAGAATTATAGGTGAATGTACAAAAAGAGTCCAATTCAGGATTTTCCTTAGGAGGTATCGGGAAGAATTTGGAATGTAAGAATATCGGTTCATACAGAAAAAAATATTCTCTATTGATTCAAACGTTATACCTATGGGATATATGGATAGAGGAGGAAAGCCTGAACATTTCACATATTGCTTTTGATTGAAGAAAAAAATATGATTTATTTTGTACCCCTCTTGTATGAGTTTGTAAGTAGTCCGTAAAGCCTTCATTATACCTTGCTTTGTGAGGGAGGAATGTTTGAGGTTATGGAAGAGATAATAGTAATGATGTGAAGGGGGACGAGAGATAGAAAGCCAGTGAGCTCAAGCATATGAAAGGGCTCAGATGAGAAAAAAATGTATGAGAAAAAATGGGATGGGGTGGAATGGGACTTCAAAGTTGTATATCCTGTAATGGCATCCATCCCATATAAAAGCTTGTGGTGTTGTTGCAGGGCATAGTGACTCAATGAGAGACAAATTTGTCAAAGTATTAGAGGGGTGGTCCTTTTTTGTGAATTATAACTTTTATATATATATATATATATATAGTCGCTCAGACTAGGGCTTGACTGAGCCTGTGAACGATGCTGAACAGGAACAAAAAGCTTCACACGGGAATCGTCCGCGAACGACGCCTGAGCTCTACAGTTCGCATCATCGGTCTGCGGTTTACTGTCTTCTGTGCAGCACCCCGACTTCTTCGGCCCTCTGCCCGATTGGCTTCTCGATGGAGCTTCCTTCTTCTACGGGTGAACCGGGAAAAACCTCCTTTGCCCACGTTGTGGGTAATCCTCAGGGGGAGACGGTGAGAATCGTGATGGTATAGGTGACTGCCCCTTTATTAAGAATGTAAGCAGGAAAAGTGAGAAGACAACTCTCTTTTTCTCAGAGTCAGAAATTTCAACAATGACTGACAAATTCAAGTTTGCTCTCATTGTGAATTTTCAATGGGGACACTCACCTATGGAGGTTATCAGGAAAAATTTTGATGACCTCAAAAAATTTTGATGACCTCAAATTAGCAGGAAAGTGGAAAGTGAGGCTCATGGATGTGAGACATGTTTTGATTCAGTTAACCTTGCCTGAAGACTACACTCGGATTTTCTCCAAAAAAATATCTTAACATTGCTGGTAAACTTCTAAAGCTACTCAAGTGGTCTCCTGATTTCAACCCAAATCATGAAACTCCCAACATACCGGTAGGGTTTAGTTTTCCTTGTCTCAAGTTGCATTTTTTTCACCATTAGGTTCTCTACTCTATTGGGGTCTTTCTCGGAGATCTTTTGAAACTAGATCTGCCTACTTTCAACCTAACCAGACCCTCAGTGACCGAAATACTTATGAAAAGGGATATTACCTTACCTGATGTTACTGAAGTCTGGCGTTACTGAAGTCTGGCTGGGCATCTGGCTGGGCATAACCCCTAATGGTTATTGACAATAAATCGTCATGGAGCACAAACCCTCATATTGTACCCACTGTAAGATGTTTGGTCGTGTCCTTGATAAATGCGTCATTGATAAATGCCACAAGTTTCATCCAAATTTGGAAATCTAAGGTTCAGTGAATAAGGCTGGGTCTAACCCCACTGTTCTGGACATTTTAGTTCCACCTGAGGAGGATACTATCAGACATGAGGTGTCTATTGCCCCTGAGGAACCCTCTCATGACATTGTTGTTACTGTTACTGCGAGTGATGTGATGCTGATACCTTTAAACCTCATAAAAAATAATACTAATGGACTATTACCTACAAATGATAGTGTTCGGACTGATAATCAGGAGAGCCTCATAGCTCCACTTCTTCAGGAAGTATCCGATGTAGAGGCGACTCATACTTCACATATACTAGAACCTATTGTGGGTAATACGGTTGATAATCCTTCTGCTTCAGTTCTAGCACCCCATCAGACTGATTCTTCGGAAGAGGAATGATAGGTCTATTTCAGGAGGAAGAAGAAAAATGGAGGCCGACTCCAGCTCGGGAACATATTGGATGATACATTGGTTACTACTGACAATGACAATTATCTTACCAACTTATTAGCTTGCTCCTACTCTAGAACTAGAGGCAAAGACAAGACAAAATTGGGTCGCTCTTTAGCCACCTGATACTATGTATTTCGTAACTGTTAGATTTTTTATTTTAGCATCTAATGTATTTTTCTGTTTTTTTTCTAGTTTTGGAACCATTTGTAGTTTTTGTGTGGGCTGGGCTCTCCCACATATCGTATCTGTATCTTTTTTTCTAGTTAATATATTAGCCTTTTTTGGGCTTTCATGAAAAATATATAAGAGGAGTATTTATAATTAAGTGGCCTAGGTGTTAATTGATGTTTTCTTATAAATACTTAAGCTATATGTTAGGAAATGTGTCTTTAGGTGAGTAATTGTTGAAATTCAGAATAATGTTGAATGTTTTTATTGATATGAAAATGGAGTATAAATAATCCTTACATAAATCATAAAATTGGAAAGACAATAAAAAGAAAATAATAGGAAATGAAAGATATAACATCTAATATCTCAAATTAATCAATTATTATTAATTATTTGGAGATAAAATAAATAACATAAAATAGGAAACCGTAAAATAGGAAGAGAAAAATCCAAGAAAATAAATTTAAAAAGAAAAAGAAATAAAATTATATTAGGAAATAAATATTGTTTTTATAAATTCTAATATGAATAAATTATTTTCTAATATAACTTTTAACACTCTCTCTCGAGTTGAAACGTGGCTGAAAACCATTTTCAATTTAAATTTGAAAATATTAAACATTGGACGAGAAAGATTCTGTGAAGCAGAACTTGAAGTCTTCATTTAGTATTGCTGTTGTCTTTGACTGTAGTTCATACAGTGCCTGTCGGTAGGCAGAAGACTCCTATACGTGCTGCTGTAGGGGAGTTTGCAGGGAAGTACAACCTGCATGGAATAACTGACTTAGTTGACTGCGATTGTCTTTGACTGCTGTTCCTGCAATGTCTGTAGGTAGGCAGAAAACTCATACTGATAATGCTGCAAGGAAGTTTGCAGTGAAATAGACAATTTGTAGGAAAAACTAACTTCTAGTTGACTGTAGTTGTCTTTGACTGCAGTTCCTGCTGTGTCTGTAAGTAGGCGCACACTCCTATAGGTAATGTTGCAGGTAGTAAATAACCAACAGGAAAAACTACTGGGTATGGCCTGCAAAGAAGTTAAAGCTCCGGAGGTAGGCCTTGCTGCAGGAAAGACTTCGGAGGAGGGCTTGATATAGAAAAAGGCTCCGGAGGAGGGCCTGCTGTAGGACAAACTCTGTTTGAGGGTTTGCTGCAAGAAAGATTCCAGAGGAGGGCTTGATGCAGGTCAAATTTCTGCAGGAGGCTTGATGTAGGAAAAGGCTCTGAAGGAGCTGTTGCTGCAGGAACAATTTTGGTGGAGAATTCGCTGCAGTAAAATGTCTGGAGGTGGGCTTGATACTGGAACAAGTTCCAGAGGAGTGTCTTTTGCAGGGAAAAAACTTCGGTGGAAGAGGCTCTGTACCGTGAAGGGCATACTTCCGACTGCACAGAGAGTTTCGGTTGCGAAGGAAAACTAGAGATGTACCTGCATGGTGTTTTTGGACAATAGGGAAAAAACAATGGAGAAGGGCATGTAGGCCGGCTGTTAGGATTTCATCCAAAGATACATCTAGTCTTGCCTCTGTAATAGCCTTTCTCAAGTCATTTAAAAGCAAACAAAAGATGAACTCCTCTGTAACAGGCTTCTCCTTGTTTCCACAATCCATGCATGTGAAATCACAAAGGACACACATTTGTTTACTATAGGAAGGAAAGTGTTGAGACTAACATCCAATATAGAAGATAAACAAAACGATTAGATAAGGAAGGACAATACTGGAGCTTATCAATCATTCTGATAACTAGTAAAAAAAGTTGTGAGAAGTGCCTATATTAAGAAGCGAAGTGTGTGGACTAACATTGAACCTAGAAGATATACAAAATGACTAAATCAAGAAGGACATCACTGGAGCATATCATTCATCCTGACAGCTAATTAAAAAAAATTAGAGAAAAATTCTATATTAGTAAAGAAAGCACGAGGACTAACATCCAACTTAGAAAATAAACATATTGACTAGATCAGTAAGGACAATACTGAAGGTTATCATCATTCTGATATATAATCGGGAAAGAAGTTTTAGATGATTTAGTTTATTTCTATGGAATTTGGGTTTGTGTTGTGACTATACACATTAGGAAAGCTGGTACAAAGACTTATTCTCGACCTAAGAGGTGCACAA